TGGCGTGACTCCCAAATCTGTGCACCAAATAAAAAAATTAAGTACTTCTTGGAAAGCTGAGAGTATGATGGAAAAGCCTCCCTTACCAATCCAAATTTATCTGTATTAGTTTTGGAGAAAAAAATATATTCTTTCTGTTAGAATGTATCTCCTTAAACTTTTAAAAAATAATGGTAATTAGTTATATATATATATATATATATGAATTTGAAAAAATCACAAATTTAATTATGGTGTTTAGTTTATTAAGTATGCTATGAAAAACATAGAGCAATTGCCCTGTTTCTATAGGAAAAAATGATTAGTCAATGTAAAATACTCTCTCAATTATCTCTCGTATAATCCTGGATATTTGCAGTAGGATGAATACCTTGGAATCAGAAATATCCGTGATTTTACAACACCGGCACATGTGGGTCCTGGAGCTTGAAGCAAGGCTGTCAAGAGTTTTAAGTGTGTTCTTTGAGCTACCAGGTGGTCTACAGTCGTTCAGATTTTCTTTGAATGATGGGGCTGATGACAGGCTTAGAACAAGTCTTTGATGACGGTTTTTGTGAGATTACTGAGCTCTTAGGTGTACTATTGTGGTTGCCCATCATTTTTTTTGAGTCTCAATCACGATTCTCAGTGTCAGGAACCTTGCACTTATTCCACAACGAATGAGCTATTGAACCAACTGCTAAAAAAAACAAAACCATTGTCTTCATGATTTACATCAGTAAATACACAGTGATACAAATACTTCATTAGACATAAAAAATTTTCGAAAACAGGTCTCATCAAACAGGTCAGAGGAATGGTTCAAGAATCAGACAGAGATAAAATTCAGTTGTTTTTCTTTTATTTTCAGAAAAACCTAAAGATTCTAGGACACTCCCTTCTGGAGTTCAATCAGCTATGCATCCTTCTACCTATCTATCACGCCAATTCTCACAAGATTCGGAGTCAGTGGCCTCCTCTCCTGAATTACACTCAGTTCTTCGGTTTGAAGAGTCACGAGCTTGTAAGAAAAACCTTATCGAATTTCAGTCAAGTAAGTCGTCCTCAGCTGAGTCTGACAAAACGAATGCAACTCTATCGAGTGACTGCTTTCTTGAAAGGAGAAGGACAGACTCTGTTTCAACGATTTACTCAAGTTCTGATAACCAAGACCGCAAATTAAGGTACAGTTTTTCCTATCATTAATTTTGGCATTTGTGTAGTAAAGTCAGAACAAGCTGAGATAAGACTGGCCTGTAATTAGTAATTTTAGCCAAACTTAAGAAAGGCAGCCGTGGAAAGACAAAGTTGTGGCCAGGAAACTTGAGTGCCATCGGATTCTATCTACAGGGCCAATTATCACATTTTATTTCGTTTTGGCGAGTCCTTACGTTAGGTATGTTTGCTGAGCTCGTCGCTTTTTAAGATAGGTGATTTTCACAGGCAATGCGCGGATAACTCTGTCAATTTTTAGAGTGCGTCTTACAGGAGACATGCTTTACATATGACATAAATGAACAAATGTTTTTCTTCGTTTTAAAGTGTGATTTATTGTTCAAACGTTGGCTGGACGCCAAGCGGCCATCACGGGCTAGAACACTAAATGGGGAATCATTCAGCAACAAAGCATCCAAGGCCCACATTTTTCACAGCAATGTTTTGAATATTTCTGCATTACATTCAAGTGATATCTACTAGTTAATTAAATGATCCTCATCATCCTCAATGATCCTCCTTCATTAACAAAAATGCGAATTTTTTCATATTTTCACCGGTTCTAGCGGATGGCAATGGCGGTTTAGAGCGACACAGGGGTTTTAGGCGACAAAACACCGTTTTCAAAGCGATCAACCGTACTTAGACTGAAGTTTTTGATGAGGCTTGTTTTTAACAGAGAAAGCCGTGTTTTTATCGAGTAAGAGAGAAAAATTTGAAATGTATTTCCGTTGATGATCGGTCGAACCAAAATGCCGCGATAATGGCGGCGAGATTGGTAAAGATTTAAGATTAGACTTTCGAAATTGATGCTGGTCGGATGCCATCATCTTCATCAGGTCATTTCTAAACCCTACTTTTTGTAGGATTATATTTTGGCTCCAACTTTTGCAAGAATTCTACCTTCTATAGGTCTGATGAGTCCTGGTTAGGGTGGGACTTATTTTTTTAAATCGACAAAACCAAATGTTTCACGGTCTTAAATGGTTCTATGTGATAAAAAAACACGGTAGCCAAGAGGATTTTGAGAA